AGATTTGAATATATGAATAGCAAAGACGTGGTTTGTATCACGTGTTTCCGTGGTCGCACACGCTGCTTCTCTCGAGGAATTACAGCTCCAGTCCAACTCTGTAATCTAACAACCGAACACGCCGACTCTGCTGCTGAAAGATTACACTGATCACTGCCAGCAGGAAGGAGGTGAAAGGTCAAACCTTCAGTCGCACCACAAAACATTGTGTCTTTGACCTCAAGTCTTGGATTAACTAATAATGATCCCGATCAGCCAGCGTCAGTAATCAATACTCCCATTATTAAAGCATTAATCAGATTAATAACTAACAGCAGTCAACGTCAGACAACCTGATCAGCCTTTATCAGTCAGTGTTTTTCTGGTGAGTGGGATAAAGCGCGTTGAGACAGATTGTGATCCCATTATCAGGCAGTTTGGAATCAGCTAAAAGCTCCTTGCACCAAACTCCCTTTAAGAAATATCACATTTTAACAATTCCTAAGTGTTGCGTAACAACACGTAACTCTAGAAAACACGAGCTAAAGCCGTCATATGTCCACAGTCTGACTGTCGAATACAGGATTCCAATATCATCCATAAAAGATACAGTGTATACTGATCAATATCATCCAGTAAAGATACAGTGTATACTGGAATCAATATCAATCCATAAAGATACAGTGTATTCTGATTCAATAAATCAATAAAGAGTACAGTGTATTCTGATCAATATCATCCAAAGATACAGCGATATACTGATCAATAATTCCATAAAGAATACATTGTGTACTGATCAATAATCAATAAAAGATTACAAGTGTATTCTGATCAGTAATCGATAGACAGTGTATTCTGATCAGTAATCGATAGACAGTGTATACTGATCAATAATCCATAAAGATACAGTGTATTCTGATCAGTATCTGTGTTGTCCCCAGACTCACCGATCAGAGTAGCCAGTGAGCAGTGAGGGACGGTCGGGGAGAACTTGATGATGATCAGGTACTCGTCCTCTCCGAGCTCTTGGACCTCCACACATTTCTCCGTCACCACGTCCAGCTCCTCCAGGGTGTTCGGCTTCTCCGGGTCCCGGATCGATCGGATCACGTCTGATACAGGGCGGGAAACGAGATGTGTCAGTGTTTACTTCAGCAACATTAAAGTAGAGTTTAGAAAGATAGTAGTAACAAATGAGTGTCTAAAAGTACAAATCCCAGGGCGTCACACCAGACTCCATTCAGAAAACTATCGATTTAAGTTCTGTTCCTGCACTGATCCCAATATGTGCCATTCTCTACAAACACACCAAACTACATTCAGAAAATCAACTAAATTATATTCCACTACTATGATTTGTTCCCCAAAATGTGTCACTCACTCAAACCCAACTACATTCAGAAAACCATCGATTTAATGTTGCCTTCAGTAATGGCACCAACTTCATAAAACTAATCTTACAATAAACTTATTGATCAGCAGCAACTGATATAGAGACACTACAAATCATACTTTGATGCCGTTTTGTTGAACTAACGTACTTATATCACAAAGTGTGCACTAGAAGTCCTCTACGGACGTTTTAAGATACTAAACATAAGAAACGCTTATTTTAACTACTTTTTGAATGGAGTCTGGTGCGCCGTTTCCTCTCCACCTAACGTCCATTGAGGCAGCAGTTCCGGTGCCGTGCCCGGGCCTCACCGTAAACTTCCAGCGCTTTCTCCTCCATCTTCCTCAGGACGTCAACCTGAACACCAGGCTCAGCACTGTGTCCATGTTATAGACGGAGCCATGATACCGCGGAGCGACAGACAGCTGCGACCCCCACAGACAGACAGACACACAGACACACAGACCGAAAGCTTCCTGTGTTTTGGGTTCAGGGGAAAGTAATCGATGAGTGATCGAACTGTGATTCTATGTTTGGATTAGTTTTATTTCTTCCTCCAACAAGCGAGGCTGCACAAAGATTATTGTATTTTCAGTGTATTTAATTTATTTTAATTATTATTAGTAGTATTTTTAATAATAATAATATTATTGTAACATTAATAATATGAATTATAATATTATAAAACCATTTAATATTTGTAATTGTTATTATTATTATTATTATTATCCATTAAAGCCAATATAGTTTCCAATTAATACAAACTAAAAGTGCTGATACAAATATGTAATAATAATAATAATAATAATAAAAATATTTTATCAGTGTAATTTATTTTTATTGTTGTTTTTATTTGATTAACATTACTATTTTAAATCATTGTTGACTTATTTATGTATTAGTGTAAAACAGTTAACAGCCTTTTATTTGTTTTAAGTTTTTACTATTCTACTATTATTTGTATTTCTATATATTTATTGGTCTTTTTATTGTATATTATTATTTATTATATGGAAAATAATAGAGGGCCTGGTTCTGTGAAATTACACTAATTTGGGGAAAATGTTCTAATTGAATCCTGAATAATGTAATACTTAAAGTTATACACCTTAGAAATATAAATGATTGTATCCGTCTTAATGATGTGATCATATGAATGATATTTAACTGAGATATTATTGATCACAAGCAAGAAGGCAATAACAAGAAATTGGAATAAGATCCAACCCTCTAATACAGAACATTTTTAGAAATGATTTATACTGTGGAAGAAAGAGCTTAGAGTGAGAGAAAATGTTTTCTAGTAAATAGAAGAAATAGATCATTAATGACAATAATAACTATTTTTGTTGCTTGTTTTTATTTATTTGACTGGTTGTAGTAATAAGTTAACTAAGTATACTTTTGGCTGTATACACAAAGAAAACTCAATAAATATTAAACATATTTATTAAACTTGGAAAGAGAGTATTGTGTTTAACATTATAAAATGCCAAATCTATAAAGATAAGGTTTCATGAATTGATCCCAAACTGGGGAATTTCACTTGTTTATTCAGTTTAGATTAAATTTGCAACAAAATACAAATTAAATGAAAATAAGATATAATATAAATAGAAAAAAAGTTTATTTCTGAAGCAGAAGATAATGATAATAATATATAATAATGATTCATATAATAATGAGAAACTTGAAATAATTACTTAATATCTTAAAATAAAAAACTTTCTCAATATTTTGACTCTTAAAATGATTATTTTGAGATATTAAATTAATATTTTTTATTTTCCCATTATAACGACTTACAGAATATATTTTTGGTCACATTTTTGTTGTTGGATTTACTTTAAATTTTATATATATTTAATTTTTTATATTATAATTTTATTTTCTAACCTTTAAAGAAGATCTGATCCAATATCGATTTCGATTAAGTCTCCTGTTGTGCTCTTCCTCTATTGGTCGGATTTGGTCAGCTGACCGGGGCAGACGGGACACGTGACTTCCCGGACCCAGCTGTTGTTGACAGGTTCTGCTCGGCTCGTTTCGGTTCTGAAATGTCTCCTGATAATCGATAAGTTGAGCCGGTAATCGATACACTGAAGGTGCGGAGATGCTGGAGGACAGCTCCACGGAGGTGTCTGTGATCCCGGAGAACCAGCACTGTGGACCGGTGGCGGACATCCACAAAGCGGAGCTCGCTCCCGGGGGCTCCCTGCTCGGATGTCTGGGGCTCCGGGGGCGGCTGGTGCTGTGGGACCCGGCCGACAGAGAGGCTCCTCCGGCCGCAGTGGACGGCTGCTACACAGAGTGAGTTCCAGTGTTCAACTGTGGAAGCTCACTTCCGCCTATATAATGACAATAAAGGTCTTTTAAGTTACTGTAATGACAAAATAATGACAAAATAATGACATAGTATCTTCATAGTATCAATATGAGTTATTATAATGAGAAACTGTATCAAAATAATGTGAAACTTGCGAAGTTATATATATATATATAGTGTTTATGTTTATCTATGGAGACACATTTCTGCCAATATGATGGAGAAAGTTATTATAATGAGAAACCAAGTCAGGAGTGCATAAACTACAAGTTATTCACTTTTTCAAATACACAAATGTGAAATTATTGTTTATTGAATGATTATCTTATTGTTATTGACAACGAGAAGCAGGTAATTATTGGTTTTTATATATAAATTAATCATTAATCATGCATCACTAGTTATAAAAATGTCCATCAGGAACCAGATATTGTACAACTTGCAGTTTACAGTCAGAGTTAATAAAAATGTTGTTCTCTCTCCAGTTTCTGTTGGGAGGAAGTGGCGGTTCACGGTCGCAGCGTCAGCAGCTTTAGACTGCTGGCTGTCGGAGGTCAGTGCGACCTGAAGCTGCTGGAGGTGGAAGCAGAACGATCAGCCTCCATTTCTCTGCTGCAAGTCTGCGAATGTCCTGCAGACCGCCTGCTGCAGACCGTCAGAGACCAGGACCACGGTGAGTACCAGGACCACGGTGAGTACCAGGACCACGGTGAGTACCAGGACCACGGTCCCACAGCTAGCCCACCGCCATCAGACTCCAGTGCACGCAGAGGTCAGGTCAAAATAATGAGAAACTTTATTAAAATAATGATTCAGTATCTTGATACCAATTTATTATTCCTCAGCCTTTCTATGGATATGAAGCAAAAAAGAATTCTTTAAGTTATCTTACTAACAAGTTAAGAACTTTTTTTTAAATACAAAATGTGAAATGATTGTTATTGAAATTAGTGTCTTATTGGTATCGGCCACAAGAAAGCAGGTAACTATTGGTATTGGCCCAAAAAAAATCCATATCATGCATCACTAGTCATCAGCGAGTCGATGCGCACTGCAGGGCAGGTCAGAGCGGCATCAGTGCAGGCAGATTGCAATGCAGGCAGAGGTAGATGCTCACGCAGGCAAGAGGTCAGAGTGGCAGCAGTAGAGCAGATGCTCACTGCGTGCAGAGTCAATCTGCACGCAGGGGTCAGATCAGGATGTCACGCATCAGAGCAGATGCTGCAGTAAGACACTGAAACATTAGTGATGCTTTACAATCCCATGTATATTATGAATGTATTTATAATATTGCTGATTGTGTCTTTATGTTCAGGTGTGCGTGAGCTGCAGTCGGTGCGCGTGTTGTCGTTTGCCGCCGGCCGCTTCTGCGTGCTGCTGAACTGTGATTGGCTGCTGCAGCTGCAGTGGCAGCAGACGGAGGAGGAGCTGCAGACGTTGTCCTGCTGCAACATCCAGCTGACTGACAGCAACAGACACACTGCCGTCAACCACTGTGTCTGCAGAGGGACGCTGTTCATCCTCAGCTCCACGGGACTCATATGTATCCTCAACCTACAGCTGCAGAGGTCACTACACTAATATAACGACTGTTACTGCTGCTGCCTCTACTCACACTGCTAATTATCATTAATAATAACTGACACTCAAACATGAGCTATATTAAAGGACCTGTGTGTAGGAACTGGTGAGAAACTACGGTGGCCATGAAAAACACTAAAGGTCGTATCTAGAGTCAGTGTTTGGTTTGTCCGTTCTGGGCTACTGTAGAAACATGCCAGCAGAGGACCCGCTCCCTCTGTAGATATAAACAACTCACTCTAAGGTAACAAAAACACAATGACTCTTAATTTCAGCTGATTATTCTCTAATGAAAACATAGCTATGAATATTATATTATATTATATTTCTGAGAATAGATCCTCCTCAATGTTTCACACTGGAGCTTTAAACTGCACTAACATAAAGAAACTCATCTAAATGTAATTACATTTAAAGTGAAAGAGCTAATGAACAAAACTAAATAAAGCTGAAATATTCGTGTTAAGTAAACTCAGCTACTTTAAGATAACTAAACTATGTTAAATTACCCTTCATTGTACTATAAACTAAACTTAATTACATTAAATGAAGTTAAACTAAATCAAGATAATTTACAAAGAACTAGAAATTGAGCTAATTAAACTAAGCTAGCCGTGATTGAACTAATCTAAAGTAAACAAAATGAATCTTAATTAAATTATTTGGAGTAAAACAGATAATAATCAATTAACTAATTTAAATTAACCTGATAAAACTAAACAAATAAACTATTTAAACCCAGTAATCTGAAAAACTGAAGCTAACGTAGCTAGCCTTGATTTAACTAATTCTTAATTACATGAAATTAAGTTAAACTAATTTATGCAGAACTAAGCAAAACTAAATTCAGTTAAATTAAACTTTAGTTTAACTAAATTAAACTCGCTGTTAGGAAACTACGCTAAAATAAACAAATTAAACCAAACCTAACAAAACCAACTCAATATAGTATTCGATAAGTAACTCGATAAGTCAAATAAAACTAAAATAAACTAAGTTGAAGCAGAACTAACCTTCCTTTTCCTGAGCTTTTAGTCCCAGCTCACAGTCTTCCTCAGTGGGTGGAGGAAGAGAGGAAGACTGTGAGCTGATCTGGATCCAGTCTCTTCTTTAACTGTGACCTCCAGCTGTGTACAGTATCTCTGATGGCAGTCTGCTGGCCAGCGTCGACCTCCCGACTTACCTGAGCTCCCACCTGGCGGACGATGACCTCGTCTGTCCTTCCTCCTCCTCCTCCCTCTCCTCCTCTTCCTCCTTCTGCCTCCTCCAGGTGTCAGCTGATCTCAGTACAGCCGTAGCGGTCACTCAGTCTCAGACCGCCGTCGCCGTCGATCTCAACCACTACTTCAGGTACATTCATCCTCCTGCTTTAGTTCCTGCTTTTATAGCTCAACACTGGCGATTTGGACTTTTCCGATTGTCCGAAATTCTTCTAATTCGGCACAAACGTCGTCTTGGTTAGGACGATGAACTGATTCGATTTTGGTAGTCAAAGGTCAAAGTTCAAGGTCAGTGTGACCTCATGTCTGTATTATAAACGCCATATCCCTGTTAAAATTTGGCACAAAAACTCGTTTTTCTATCATAACTCAAATTGAAATTTTGCACAGATGTTTAATGGGATACAACGATGAAGTCAAAAGGTCAAAGGTCACTGTGACATCATAACGTCCTTCAAAAACACTTTTTGGCTTGTTATTCCAGTCGGCCATTTTGAATTAAGTGATCATGTTTTCGCAATTTAACGCAATGTATTTTAACTAACTGCTTGTAGGGAATTGATCGGATTGACTTCAGAGTTTTCGTCGAAGGGCGTCTCCGTGGCGTGGCATCCAATTTCAATGTTTTGCCATCAAACAGGAAGTTGTTGTAACTTGTTCCAACCAGCCCCAAATTTTCATGTTTGAGTCTGAACACATCTACATGCCAATATTCACTCATAGCCAGAACGCCACCCACTATCAAAAGGAAGTACGATGTAGTATGGCGATCGTGATCTGAATTACATTACATTTTAACTGCTTTAATTGTTTCAATCAAAAAGGCCTCCTGGCAATCACAGTCTCAACAGCGACAATGAAACACACAAACGCCTCATGAAATGAGGACATGGCAGTAATTGCGAGGGCAGAGTGAAAGCACATAACAGATAACACTGCACACGGGAACAATGTGGATCCGTCTGCCTGTTGAGCAGTTTTGATCCTGATTGCAGAGCGCTGCAGAGACCAGGCCCACTGACTGCCAAATGTGTCTGATGTGAATGTTACCGACTCAGCCAGAGGAATATTAAACCGACTGAAGGAACACATCAGAGCAGCCCATTAAACAGAGCGTCATCTGCAAGTTCATCACGCACGGCGCCACAGAGAGGCCGAATGTTTCCATATAAAACAAAACAAACTTCAGAGTGCTATTTCTGTCTTCCAGGATGTATCCGGACCACCTACTGTGTGCCGTCCCCCCCTCTCGCCCCTCTCTCCGGCCCCAGCACCCAAGAGACCAGGACAGCCTGTCCAGCTCTAACTGCTGCCTCGCCGCCCTCAGCTCAACCTTCAGTACCGACCGGTAAACCACGACAGCCACACACACTTTACTTTTAGATACTATGACACCCCAGAGATCACCTGTTTACTCCTGGTATTAACCTGCATCTTGAGTGATTGGATCACATGGACAGCTCTACATACACTGTTAACAACCGCTGTGATCAGATCACTCAGACCACATTGCAGAGGTCACATTTGATCACATATCTTTAGTAGAGTAAACGCTAATGCATCCTGGGCCTCGTTGAAGGACCGCCTACTCAACTGTCTTCCCGTACAGACACAGAAACACTGTCTGATTGGGTCTTACCTGCCCAAATAAGCAGCAGATGTTTCAACCACAATCACAATCACCAGACTCCTTTAAAAAATTGCAAAATTTTGAGAGTTATTGAGTGAGGAGAAACTTTATAAACTTTATAAAACATTATCTACCACACATTGTTGATTATTTGGGCCTTCTTGTAAATTCTGCAAACTTTACACATTAATTAATTTATGTCTTTGTGTAAAAAAATCATTGTGTCCGTATCATTTTTATTCCTTCAACTTTATCTTCCTTTAAAATCTCGACCTCTGACCTCTCACTTTGTAGCTCCTGGGAAGCTCGTCTGGCCTCTATGTACAGCAGAGCCCAGCAGACTACCGCTCCCTCCTCCTCCTCACAGCCTGCTGGGACCTCCTGGTCGTCCTCCCTCCCCCACCTGGAGTCCCACCTGGCTCCATCCTCGGCCCACAGCAGAGCGCCTCGCGGCGGGGCGACTGTCGCTTTCTCCGCCCCCGCGTCGTCCGCTCCATCTCTGCTCACTGTGTCCGAGTTCTCCGCCCAGCTGACCTTCGTCTCCCCCGGCAACAAACAGACCACAGCGGCCTTATGGGAGTTTGAGTCTGGGAGCGTGAGCTACCACCAGGCGGAGGGCGAGGCGGCGCCGGTTCAGCGCTGTGGAGAGAGACAGCACCGACTGCTGCTGAAGAGTGAGACACACAGTTCTGTTATAACAAGAGAGATTAAAAATAATTAAAGCTGTTCACAGTGAAGTCTGGTGCCGATTTGAGAACGTACACAGAAGTTTGGGTTAACTTTGTGGGTTCCTTTTTCACGCCATTGAACAAAACCTCGAGATTTTGAACCTTTCATCGTGATCTTCTTTAGAGTGTGCTGACCAGATTTGAATTTGATCCTATTTATTCTTGTTTGTTAAAATAGAATGCCTGGAAATGTCAGAAATGGCGCCGGAATTGGACATTAAATTCGAAATGGCTGACTTCCTGTTGGGTTTGGGGTATGGCTCCAAGAGGCTTTATTGTTCGCCTGGACTTGATACATGGGTCTACCAATTTTTGTGTGTGTACATGAAATGTGCTGTCGGATCTGCTTAGTTGAAATGTGGTAGTTACAAAAACGCCTGTTTCTTGGCAAAACGTCGCTTTTTGACGCCACGGACGAAAACTGAAGCTTTTAAAAACTTTTAATCTATCTAATCCTTCTGAGAGCTACTCTGCCACAGCGCTCACTCCTTGGGCCCTTTGGTAAAATTGGTGATTTGATTTGCGTCCTCAGATTTCAGCAGTGAAGTTTGAAGTGAAATGTTCTCATAACAGTCAGGACAAAAATACAAAAATGAATAAATAAACAACAACATAACGGTCAGACGTCACACTGCAGCAATATAATGAGGTGTTGTCGTCTTTAGGCTGCAATTATCTGCTTGTTCAGTGTTCTGTGGAAAATGTGTTGGCTGCGTTTGAAAGAAAACTGAAAGCCTGCAGGGAATTATTATTATTTATTATTATTATAATCAATACAGAGAAACAGGAGGAAAACACAGCCACTATATTTACATATCTGTCTGTCTCTCCTTCTGTTTGTCTGTCTCTCTCTCTGTCTCTCTCTCTGTCTCTCCCTCCCTCTATCTGTCTGTCTGTCACTCTGTCTCTCCCTCTCTCCCTCTGTCTCTCCCTCCCTCTATCTGTCTGTCTGTCCCTCTGTCTCTCCCTCCCACTATCTGTCTGTCTCTCCATCTGTCTCTCCCTTCCTCTATCTGTCTGTCTCTCTGTCTGTCTGCAGGCTCCGGTGTGTTCCAGGTCCTGTTTTCGGTGTCCCAGCAGGACTTGCTCAGCAGGTTGATGTTGTTCGGCAGCGCAGCGACAGTGGACGCAGTGTGTCACCTGAACAGCTGGGGGCGCTGCTCCATCCCCATCCACGCCCTGCAGGTAGAGGCTCACCTGGACGGCAGCGGAGACTGAACCGGACTCACTGGTACACCTGGCTGACCCGTACACGTTGTGGTTTGTGTTGCAGGCCGGACTGAAGAACCGACAGCTGGACACGGTCGACTTCTACCTGAAGAGTAAAGAAAACATCCTGAACCCTGCGGACGAACAGCCGGCTGCCTCCACGCTGACAGACAGTACGAACTCTTCTGAAGCCCCGCCCCTTTTTGTTCTGTGTTCCAATAACAGTTCAGCAAGCCTTAGTCCACTTCCTTATTATTATTATTCCTTATGCAAAACACTAGCTAATCTACATCAATCATTAGCTGACTTTTAATGCGACTTCATATGTCTCTTTTATCTTTTAACCATCTTCAAAATGTGGTTGTCTTTTCAACATAGATTAGCTTAGCACGTAGCATATCTAAGTACAGGAAAGCAGGAAGTTGACTGAGGCTTGCTCAACTGTGATTGGAGCACAGAACAAAAAGGGGCGGGACTTACGAAGGGTTAAGGTACCCTTTAAACAGCAGAAATTTTAAATAGTTTCAATCATTACAGTTTCATACATGTTGTTAAGTTTAGCTGTGTGTGTGTCTCACCTGTGTGTTTGTGTGTGTTTGCGTGTGCGTGTGTGTGCAGGTGTCCAGCAGTTGTGTCCTGCGTTGGACCTGCTGTGTTCGGCCGTCAGAGATTCAAACAGTGAAGCTCAGAGCCGACAGTTCTCTGAACAGCTGCTCCACATCACCCTGGGCTTCGTCAGCACGCAGATCAGATCAGTGCTGACCAACACACACCGTAAGACAACACACACACAAACTGCCTGTTCTTATACGTAACTGAGTTTTCTGTTTCATGGAGCTTGTCTGTTGTGTCTGCAGACGAGGACGCAGGCGTGCGGAGCTGCGTCGACGTTCTCGACCGGTACGTCACCGAACTGAGGAGCTACATGAAGAGGTTCCCCTGGCCTGCAGGGGGCGACACTTCCAGCACCAGTTCTGCTGATTCTGCTCAGGAGGAGGTGCAGAGAGACGAGTGGGAGCAGCTGCAGACAGAGGTGACATTTCCTGCTTTGTGTTTCTGTCTTTCTATTTGGGAACAACGTGTACATTAGTGTGTGTGCGTGTGTGCTGCAGGAAGTGGTCCGTCAGTCCATCCTGACCAATCAGATCCCCAGAGCTCAAGCTGTCCTGCGGAGGCGGGGCCGTCCGGAGCAGCGTCTGTCGGCTCTGAGGATGGAGGGTCTGCGTCAGGTCTTCGCCTGCCTGCAGCGCCGAGACCTGCAGACCGCCAACACTCTCCTCACCAACATGGTCAGAGCAACAGAGCTAACGAAGCATGTTACTATAGCAACATTCAACACTTTGATTTCGATATGTTTTATGTTCTGTGTTCAGAACAGAGTCATGTTTCCTGAAATGTTTAAATATGCAAATGATGCATTATCTAATTATAAATGTGCACATATTGCCTTACAGAAATCTGAACATTGGATGAAGCCAGGTTCAAAATTCTTGTTTCATTTTGTTGACGTATTAGAGTCAAAGGTTTTTACAGAGGGGGTGTTATATATCTGTTTTTATTACTCCATACATCAGAAAATACTGCCATAAAAAAAATCTATTTTCGTGTAGTTTCTAGTAATAAAAGGTGATATAAATCAGACTGTGAATGATATATGAACAAACCTCTCTGTAAAACCCTTCAGAATACAGAGAGGAATAAAGGTGGAAGGTTTGGTGGCTGTAGAAGCTGCTGAAAGGGAGATTTCGGTCTCAGAGTTTGAGAAAAAAACTCATTTTGAGAAAACGGACGTAATCGTTAAAAACTCACCACAAAGGAATAGGGTAAAAATGTAAACCAACTGATATCACCATGAAACTCCCCCAGTTGATAACTTACATTAAGGCAATTATTTTTTGTATTACAAGTTTCCTGAAATGTTATGTTTAAATATGCATTTTTTGATGCTAATAGACAAAGTAAAATAAACACATAATTAGTGTATTTTGGGTGTTTTATTGCCAGTAGTCTGAAATAAGGCATGTTATTGAGGTCAGAATTGGCCCAAAACCTTCACACTGACCATGTTTTTGTGTTTTCAGGGTTTCAGCGTGAAGAAGCAGCTCCACAGTATCTGCCTCTTCACCGACGACAAGGACCTCCGGAAGTTTGTGGTGAGTTCACAGTAACGACAGTTCCTTTTCCTACCTACTGTGTTTTACACCTTTACAAGTGTTTGAGGCCTCTGATTGGTTGATGGGTCAGGTGGAGGAGCTGTCGGGGCGGAGTTATTTCCCAGAGGAGGAGATGCGGAGTGTGGCGTTCATCGAGGAGATGGAGAAGTTGGGGTTGCTGCCCGCGTCCCGCTGCCCCGCAAATGCCACCTCGCAAAGGTAAAGAGACCGCACGCCGTTTTTACTTGCAACACATTCGTATACACATTATTTCATATACTCAGAACTCAGTTACCATAGCAACACTGCAGCCTTTTATTAAGTGATTTATTGTACTTCCTCCTGTTTGTTCTTCAGCTCCCTCTCTGTTATCTGCCTCCTCGTCTTTATCTCAGATGAATCCCCTCTCTCATCCCTGTGAATCCTCTCTTTATCTCCGAGAAGTCTCTGTCTCTCCGACCCGGCTCACCTCTCTTTGCTCCCTCTTTCCAGGCTGGCTCAGGTGGTCTGTAGGGAGGCAGCCGGAGGTGGTGAGGAGGTTCTTCTGGAGGAGCTGACGGGACGGAAGACCTTTGTGGAAGACGGGGGTCTCTGGAGGAACCTCCGCCTGGACTGGGTGAGGAACTGGGACCAGAGCTGCCAGACCACCGTCCTCCTGTCCAGACTCCAGCACACAGGTAGACTCACAACAGAAACCGGTTCTGCAGAGACTTGTCTTGGAAGATTTTTCTGCCCTTTAAAATACGCCTTTGTCCTCTGTTTAGAGTTGAGCTCCTGTGACGCGGCGGTGTTGTGGCGTTACCTCACTGCCCTGCACGACCAGCGCCGGGTGGTGGACTGGATCGACTGGAACAGGGAGACCTCTGGCGCCCCCCGGTGGCCTGAGTTAACCCCAGAGCTGGTCAACAACAACACAGTCTGCAGCACCTACATGAGGGAGGACATCCTGGACCTGCTGGCCAGGTACAGCAGCCAGTTGCACCTAATAAATGTCATCTTTCTGTATGTACGGTGGCCAAAAGAGGTCAATACGCTGCTGTTTAAGGGTCCAGTGTGTACCACTGAGGAGAAACTATTTTCAGAAATGTAATATAATATCCGTAGGTGTGTTTTCATTTCATGTTGGTGTTTCTTCCTCCAGGAGAGGTCTCTTCATCCCGGAGGAGCTGGCAGACTTGGAGCAGCTGCTGTGGAGGCTGGCTCAGGGTGGAGGGGTGATGGCTTCATCCCCACCCGTCCCTCAGTACCGCTCCCCCCTCGGCCTCGACCTCCACAGCCTCTTCATCACCTTCTGCCTGGACCACAGCCTGCAGTACCTGCTCTACACCTACCTGGAGCACTACAGGTGTGTGCGGACGAGATCATACATTCTTGAATTTCAGTTTAATAGCTTCTTAATTGATTGTGAAATATCAGTTGGGTTAATTAGCTGCTACTGTCCATCCTCCACAGGTTGACACCCAGAAACTGTCCCCTCTTGACCAATCAGAGCCTGTCTGAGAGCCAGCCCTGGTTTGAGATGTTGGTGAAGATCCAGGAGATCACCAGAGATCTGTCAGGTACCGGATTTCTACAGAATCCTACCAGAATGGCCATTTGGTGTTGCGGATTCTGGATTGACTGTTTCCTTGTCTGTTCCAGATCCAGGACTGGTATTCCAGGCCAGTTTAACCAGTGCACAGGTGCTGTTACCAGGCAGCCAGGCTTCTCTCAGCAGTCTGCTGTTGGAGGGACACAGTCTGCTGGCCCTGGCTGCCGTTATGTTCGCACCTGGAGGAATCGACCAGGTACAAAAGCTTTTTAAGCAGTTTAAGTTTTTTTAAGTTTTATTTGGACCATTAGCTCCATGCTTCTAACAAACTTGCCGTTTACAAATCACCCCATCAACCAACACGACAAAGCAACCAACGCCAGACCCAC